GTTTTCTGCCCTCCTGGCCTGTTTCCCCCTTCGCCCACCCTGGGTGGGTTGTTTTTTGGACTTTGTTTTTATCCTTGTGGTATCGAAAATGGTATCGAGTATCGAATATTTTCCTTAGTATCGGTATCGAGTTGAAAAGTTTAGTATCGTGACAACCCTAATATATATATATATATATATATATATATATATATATATATATATATATATGTTGCATTTGTGAAAACTCCGAAAGCTGACTTAATACTAGCAGATTATTACCACATCATTACACATACTCTTTCTTAATTGTGCTGTTTGAACATAAATATTGCTATATTAAAGTCATCTGTATTCCTCTGCCTGTGAGCTCCCTCCATGCTGCCTGATCCTGGAAAATGACAATGTAATTTCTGCTCCATTTATTCCCCATCCCAGAGCCAAGCGCTCTCATTCACTCCTCGAGCCTTTACAGACTCCCCGCCCTTACCTCTCATGCTGAGCCAATATTGTACTTAAATCTCATGCTCCGATTGTCATGGATGAACCCTGTATGGGACAATTAGGTACACAGCATAATTATATTGGCACCCTGTGTCCAGACAGAACACCCTTTGAACAGCTAAAGTGTTTACAGTGGGAGAAACCCAAATATAAATTACAGGCGGTCACCAAAGTCTGGCATACTGTAGGGAATAATAAACAGCGCCGGCCGCCAGTCCCTCTGTGATGAGACCCTTCTCTAAACTATGAAAAAGGTAATATGTGTGCATCTTTGTTACAAACAACTAAATGTTTCATGCCAGGGCTATTGAGTACAAAGTGTACCAGACCCACAGTAACAAAGTGTATACACCCAAAAGCACCGATTTGTTACAAAACACCAACCTTGATGGCTCGGAGAGCTCTGATTGGTTGATTGCTGGAAGCTTGGACGAATTAGATCAGCCTGTCGATGATTGGAGGAGCGGTCTATGTTGTCCTGCTGAAATGAGGGAAAAGGGGTAAAAATTTAAAATGAAACCCTTAACTGACAATAGATTAGAGACAGGTCGGTCAGATGTTGTACAATAACCAAAGACTTCAGATAATAACTGCTATACTAGTTATGTCAAATGGTACATAAGTCACAATGCTGCGTATCTAAAAAGAAATACCCCGGTGGAAGTGGGCAACAGATCCAGAAAGATGAAAGCATATATATTTATGTAAAAACATTTTTTTTTTTTTTTTTGCAATCTTACGTTGAAGAATAACAACAACAAAAATGTTGATACTCAATATTAAGCTTAAGCTTATTTGATGAGGAAACAAACATGTTATAAACAGTCGTTCACTGGTGTTACGCTTGTTGCCACCATTATGAAATGTTTTTCTAAATGCCTTTTTTTGCCTTTTAGCCTGGTTGTTTCAGTCCAGTAAAGAGCTAGAAGAGCTCAATTTCAAAGGCAGGTTTTCTATAGAATATAGGTCTAGGGACTTAGGGCCAATAAATAATGTAAATAATCAAAAACAATAATGGAGCTTGTTTTGGATTTTTACTTACCAGTTCCCTCCAGCAACAAAAATTTCATATTTTTTGGTAACAGTATTAGATTTATTGTTAATCAAGCACCCTGAAAGAGAATCAGGCTCTCAGAATGACAGAGAGCTAGAATATGCTTTGTGTCAGTCCCACCTGTTGAATATCCCTTTAAATTTGAGTCTTTTAGTCTCTTCTGGCACACAGCTCTAGTTAGAACCACTCTAACATAGAAGTTAATGTAAATATTCCTGAGCAGCTATTTTCTTGTAGCTTAATCCTTATGTAAAAAGGTGAAAACAAATCTTTTTCATACAAAGAGGTAAAGTTATAGCTGAATGAAAGTTATGAATGAAAATGTACAAAAAAATTAACCAAAGGTGAGAATTTGTCCATTTTTGACAGAATAAAGATCACAGTCGTTTGTATCTAGAGTTGTCCTCGTGATTAGAAATGACCATTGTCAGCTCCCCAATGAGGCAGTGACCTAACCTCATCCAGTCACCAAGTTCACATCAATATAGCCCTACTTGTTTTTTTGGGGTGGAATAGTGTTCAACTAAGGTGTGTAGTCAGGACAATTTGAGACAGATTTTTATCAGTATCAAATCTGAACCATTACTAGGGCTAGGCAATTAATTGCAATTGCAATTTAATAAAATGTAATTTTTAAATCGCAGAGATACTTCATTTTGGTCACAAAGGTAGAGAGAATGGCACTTTTTCATAGAAAAATTACAACACAGTCCTGCAACAATGGACTTTAGACAAGCAAGCTTTCAAGATCATGAAAAACTGCAACCCAAAAATAAAACGTCTACAACCTCGTGGTTAGCGCAAAGGCAAGTCAAAATAAAATCGCAATATTGGTTAAAAGTCATCCCACTTTTACATTTTGGCAAAATAGTTCAACCTTGATTTGGATCTCTGGCCGATGATTGGTGCATCTTTACCAGGAAGTGATGTCTTGTGTTGTTTTCACAACTGTCTTGACACATTTCACTTTATATTACAAACTGAAAAAGCTGTGACAATAATTTCTACACTGATATCTGATTGAAGTGAAGCATCAGACCACATGATGGCAAAATGATTACATAGCAGAAATGCCCAACGCTTGTTTTTATGCACCTGGGAAAAACACATCAGTGGCTTTTTACCTTTGCATTTTCACATATATGCAGGTCTGTCCCATGGGGTGAAAAAAATAATTAAAATCTCAGACACTCATGTGATCTTAAGTCCTTAAAGAGGGCTGTAGTGGGACAGAAGTGAGGCCAAGTTTGGACAAGGATCTCACAAGAATACTTTCATAATAAAGAAAGTTAAAAGGAGCTCAGAGGAGTCAAAAGGCTGAGGGTTCAGAATTTTAAAAGGGGTCAGGAGAGGGTTATAAGCAAGGTTAAGGAGTTGAGAGCAGGGCAGTCACAACGTTGTGGAGGTTGAGTCTAAAACAAAGGGGAATAAAAAAAAGCAGGTCTATATGTCGAAACTAAGCTTTCTGAAGAGGTCACAGTCAGGTTGAATGTAATGACTGCGGTTTGGTGGAGGACTGAACTCGTCAAGGGGTTTTAAGGTGAAAAGGAGCACCTGATATGGATCCAAAACAATAACTTTATACTGGTTTGGATAGAGGTGTGTACAGGTCAAATGATGTCATTTCATTGCTCTGCCAGGCTGTTTTCACTGCTTGTCCATCTCTTCAACTTACAGGTGGTAAAATTTTTGTAAGTTATACAAACTTACATTTTCACGGCAATGTCATTCCCATGCTTTACTTACCCCTTATGCCCAACTATCTATCACCTTCAAATAACTTTTTTAATTTGAGTTATATATTAAGCTATACAAGTGCATAGTCTGCATAGGTTCAGGAAAAAGAGAACAAAACATATTTATAGTGAGAAATAGGTATATATTAGTCACAATTTTGCTATAGTAAAAAATTTAGAAAATAAAAAAGTAAACCTAGACAAGTTTGCAAGACACTTAATGTTCAGTGTAACACCAAAATGATTCAGCTATATGCAGCTCTAACACAGCAAAAGTGAATGTTTATCCAAGTGCTCCAACAAAGATTTAGAGGGGCTGACTGCTCGTTTAGAGAACATCTTGTTTCTTTGGCAAACATTCCTCAAGATCTGCTTGCATAGCAGTTCAGCTTGTCACTTTAGTTTTACTTCATCAGACGAAGAAATAAGTCACAATATCATTGCTAAAAACATTAGCCCAATGCATTATATGCATCAAGCATTAATTATCACCCAGCTAATCTTTAGATTTGGACCTATATAACATCTTTGTACAGATCTATATGGAAGGATTAAAAAGTAAAAACAATCCTTCATGTTCAGTATGAATATTATCTGTTCTTGAATCCGTTTGGGATCATGGCTTTAGTTTTATCAAGGAAAGAAATCGTCCAAAAACCCTGGAATTTCACACTGAATGGGTTTTCTCATTCAGCAAGTCAAGGTACATCTGTTACAGCTGAATGGTCTGAAACAGCCCATTCTGTGCTTGCAAGCTGCTATGCATGTTTGCTTCTGTGCACTCTGAGGGGGTACATTACCCTCTGCCGCTCCAGCACCAACCCAAACTGTTCACAAAATTATAAAAAGGTGATGCCTACTTGTATTTAAGAGTCCAAATCTTCCAAGCCTCAAGTAAAAAAAATGTTTATGTTTATAAAATAAAAGTGGGGATTGCTTCTAAATTCATCTAATGATATAGTACTACACTTTATTTAATTAGATTAGATTAGATTATTTTAATCTTCCAGACAGAAATTGAGATTTAGGGTTGAACAATTTTGCCAAAAATTGAGATTGCGATTCATTTCATCCAATATTGCTAATTTATTTTAATCTTGCTTTGCACTAGCCACAAGCATGAAGATGTTTCACACCAGGCCGTTATCTTTTCAATGACCTTGAAAGCTTGTTGGTCCAGAGTCCGTTGTTGCAGGACTTGTTACTGTTGTGTGGAAAAGTTCTAGCTGCAACTCTCTCTTCCCCTCTGTGTGGTGGTAAACCCACCTTCAAGGGTATTACTGCCCCCTGAAGGGCTGGCATAAGAAATTTAGTCTTACCCTGTTAAATGTCATGTCATTAGAATTGAGTGCCTCTGCGATTTAAAGATTACATTTTATGAAATTGCAGTATTATTGCAAATACAATTAATTTCCCAGCCCAAATGGAGTTTAGCTTAAGCAACTACAGTCTAGTCCAGTTTTCCTATGCAATTACTGTTTACAAGTTCGTTTCTAGGGATGGGAATGGATAACCGGTTCCTGTTCAGAACTGGTTCTGTGTGTTCCAATTCCATGGCACCGTTTGGCAGCTCCCTTAACAATTCTCTTAACGGTTCCAGGCAGCACCAGAGCCTAGCTCTGACTTACATCATGTTTTCTACGTAATTTACGGCATGTTTTTACGCAAGTTACGCACACGGCATTCAGTAAGCAAGTACGACGCGACCAGGCGTAAGTCTAGAAAAGCAAAACTAAATAATTGGCCTCCTGTCGGGTAAACCGATCAAAGTTTGGATGTAAAGTGGCAATAATGTCGCAGGAGGAAATACATCCAACACGCAGAAACACCTGCGCACACAACATGGCATACATTTTAACAAATGCCGATGCTTCCGGACAGAAGCTAAAGTTACGACCAGCATGGAAGGCAACTCTGGTGGTAAGTAGCTAGTTTTATGCCACTGGCTGTGCTTAATTTGGTTCCTAGTAAATCATATGCCATTCCTGTAAATAAACCAATTTCCTACCTCTCTTTGGGGTTATTAAACATGCTACAAAGTTGCTCCAGAGTTTAGAGAGCGAGAGAAAGGTACCACTCGTTTATTTAAATCAGGGGTAGATGAGTTTATTTCCCGAAAATTGTACAATAATGCATTTTCATTAAACGGATGCCTTCTCCATTAGATTTAGATGACTGTGATGAGACGGGTAACCTGGCTGGCTCAGAGGCTGGCAGCTCCCGTTCACTGCCTTGTGTTTTCGCAGAGGCAGGCAGAAATAGAATGTCCCAGGCCAAGGTAGACGAATGTCACCGTTCAGTTACCAAGTTAATTGTTTTACAGAATCGTTAAGAGAATCGATAAGGGAATCAGAATCGAGAAAATCGTATCAATTCCCAACCCTATTCATTTCATAGTAAGAGATTTAGTTCTGTTTTCCCTGAAAATGCAACAGTGAAACAATTACAGTGAGTTTTTACAGGGCTAACATGTTGGACCATGCAGTCCTACATGGATATTTGGTTTGATTCACAGAGAAATCTGCTGATATCATGCAATTTTTAAATAGCAATTTCCAACTTGATCCTTTTCAGCTTTCAACCTTTGTCTGTCATGGAATATAGAGGATTTAGAAATTTGGCTTTTAGGAAAGTTTTCATTCTTTTTGGAAATACTAGCAATGCTAACTGCTCATGTCTGATCATCATATCTGTTGACATGTCAACCCCGAAATAATGTATGCTATAGAAAAAACTCTGCATTTGCTCTGAGGATGCATGATATTAATGACATTTTTAGTTTTAAAACTGCATGTTGGATGCCTGCAACTCTAGGTCACATACACCCAACTGATCTACTGGTCCGCCCCATGAGTAGCAATCTATTAATAAAGAGGAATGATGTGTTTTCGCTGATGTGACAACATTGTTACTCAATCTACACCCCACAACAATAAACAACTGGAGGACTTTCTGCTTTGATCTAAATATGTTTCCCAAGGCTTAGACTGAATGGGGCCACCTGTGGAGCTGGTTGACAGTTGCCTTTTGTATCTCTGCTTCTTTCTGTATGTCTGCTTCTGTGTTTTTTCTCCCCACTGTCGCTACATGCATGCTTGGTGTGAGGGACTGGTTTAAAGTCAATGAGTTGATGTAATTAGCTGGTTTTCCTTAGATAGAAAACTTTGAATCAATCTGACTTTATAATCTGGTTGAACTGTCTCTATAAAGTGTCTTAACATGACATTTTGTGAATTGTTGCTATATAAATAAATATATAAATAAACTCAATTAAACTGAAATAGAACTAAACAACCCTCTGAGGTTTGGAGTGATTTCTGAAGGCATTTGGTTAGACTCCGGTATCAATGTAAATACATTTTGCATTTTTCTACTTGTGAGGGAGAATCCTTAAAATTATCAAGTAATTTTAATGATTGATTTACACAACTTTGTGTTGTTCTATCATATGAAATCCAAAATGAGACGAGGACACAAAGGATAAGCTCCTGAGTAAGTCTCCAACCTTTTTATCATAAAAGTGATTGGAATATAAACTATATATTAATAATAAGAACAACAACAGCAATACATGAAAAAAGTGAATCTCTCTAAATCAAGGTCATGAGAAATAAGCTGTCAATATATTAGACGCAATAAGAAAACCTGGAACATTTCAGTGTGCTGTTACCTTTATTTTGATCAGAATCAGAGCTGGATAAGTGGCTGCCGATAGTTTTGTCAATTTTCATATAACTTTTTGTTCACATAATTTTCTATAAATATATAAATTATTCAAATGTTAGTGAGGTCTGCAGGGATTTGGTCCTCTCTAATTATTAGTGAGATACCATATAAGACTTCCTTCTAGCATTTATTTAAAGTAATTAAAAGTCAACCTTTCCCAGTCTCCTCTAGAGAAAAAATCCTAAATTATTGCAAGCAGAATTAAGTGATCCGGCAACAAAGGATCTGAAACACATAAAGTCTGGCTTTGCATAATACTGCTAAGCCATTTATATGTACCTTTAGAAAATCTCTCTGGAGTTCATAAAAAGTGACCAGAGTAATTCCCAAAGAGAATAAATAAATATAATGTGTGTTTTATATACAATGCACAGCAAAATGGGATTTACCTGATAATTTGGGTGATGCAGGAAGTAATCTGGACATCCAGCCACCGCCATCGTTTCTGAGACCTCTCAGTAACTTTTTTCAGGCGTATAGAGAGTTTACCCAGTGAAAAGAGCAGAACCTGTAAAGATAGATAAGAGGGAGAGATTAATGGAACATTGTAATTTTAACAGGAAATTGTAAAAGTAGAAAAAAGTACTGCCATTAAGTCTGAAGACAGAGGTGGGTAATTTCACAAAACAAAGAGGATAAATTCTTAGTTCTGAGCTTAAAAACGCACTCAACCTGCTATAAATGTTAGGGATGTTACTGTATCAGTGCATGCCAAGAATTTAAATCTTTGCTTTCTAGATTGCTGAAAGAAGGCTAGTACACTTTTCCATAAAGCCGGGCATACCCGGTACAATATTTTCAACCATACAACTCAAACTGTATGACGAAACCGCACGGTTTGAAAGTTCCCAGCTCACGATGCATGTTCTCAGACTGTGCGGCGCGACGCTCTGATGCGACCTTACGACGGTCAACTGAATTTTAAACATGTTTGTTTTTCTCCTGACTTTACGATTCCTGATCGGGAGGTGGTCCTGAGAGGCTGATCGCCCCTGGTTACCCCCTGTATAATATACGATGCAGGACGCACGATCAAGCTGAAAGTCGGCCCCATCAAAGAATTCTCAGATGACTGGAGAATCGGCCCGAAAATGGCAAAATATCGCAGTGTATGCCAAGGACTGGGAATGCCATACATCTAAAATGAAAGTTCCCTTTTTTATGTTTACTACTGGTATTAAAAGTAGTAAATATTATCTATAAATATCATAACACAGTGAATTGAAACCTGAGGTTACCATGCTTTAAAATCTCACACCATTCTATGTGTAAAAACAACTATCATTCGTTTCAGTTTAACATTAACCTTTTAAACTATCAACTGACATGTGACAAATTTCACTCTAGCTGCAAAAGCAAACCAAACCCAAATATGGTGGGCTGTGTTAGGACGCCAATGCCCTGGCAATCCTCGGTCAAAACAACCACGTTTTCAACAGTGAAACTTTATTTGAAGATCTTAAAGTGGGTAGCCTACTAACCTCCAGGCACTGCTGCCGCTGCTAAACAAACACCTGTAAACACTCAACCAAAAATACCCTGCCGGCATATTTCCAGATCTGAAGTTAGACCCTGAGGAATATTTAGAGCCAAGCGGCTCAGGCGTATAACTGTGATGGGCTTTTATAAAGCAGTTCATGACCCCAGGTTGGTTTTTAAAAACATGAGCTGTTCTTTCAGAGGCAGCTAACATTATCTCGTGTTTGCATTTGCGGTTACTGCTGGGTTGCCCATGTGGCCTTCCAGTGTTTATAGTATATCTGCGCATTTCTACTTTTACATAATGTCCTGCAGGGATAAGTGTTAGCCTTGATTAACTGCAAATTATCTGCGAATGAATGCACATTTGTAAATAAACTGTGATATGTGTCTCTAAAAGCTATAGCTGGGTTTATATCATGAGGAGAGGACACAACACACCACATACATATGTTTCATTGCTCATTAAATCAGCCCTATTAAGAAAATGGCTACAGTGGGTGACATTAAATACAAGAGTTCGAAGCATGTTGTACATAGAAAAATAAATGTGAATCAGAAACAAGTGATTGGATTTCTAACTGGGGACATGCTTGTTCAAGAAGACAGAAAGTCAGTATAGCAGCTCATAAATCCACCTGCTAAAACATAAAAGGACTGAGAAGGACTTAATATTCAAACGCTGATCATACAATTAAATCCATTCATGTTATAATGAAAGATCAGTGTGAATCCAGTGCAGTTTATATTGTTAGATTGACAGCTGAGCAAGTTTAACTGAAGCATTAAAAAATATACAGAGCTTCTGCATGTAGTTTTACCAGTACCTATTATCCTTCTGACATAATTGGAAGAATCGTTAAGAAAATGGAAATGTTCAAAGAATAAGTCAAAATTACTTTGATACCATTAAATCCTATTTAACCATATTATAGATTTTTAAGCTTTTGTGAAGGGATTCCTTTGAATGGGAAATAGGGCTGAAACAATGAATCGGACTAATCCATTATTGAAATAACTGTCAACTAATTTAGTAATCGATTAATCCTTAAATGGAGTATAGAGACTGTAAAACATGCCTTTAGCTAACAGAGCGACTGACTTAGAGCAGTAATTATATCAAAACTGTAAACAAATACAGTATGTAAACACTTTGCGATTAAAAAAACTTTTTGGTCTGTCAATATGTTCAATCCAGAGCTCCTCAACTGGAAACATTTCAGTTTTACCTGGTTTACTTTGGAAAAAAAATCTTCTTTAAATCTTCTATCGAAAAATAATGGACAGATTAATCGATTTGCAAAATAATCGTGAGTTGCAACCCTAGTCAGAAATAATTCCCTATCAGTACGGTATATACGGCGAAACATAGAAACCATTAAAAAAAAGAAAAAACATGGCAGCATCCCTAAAAAGACTGCATAATATGTAGATGAATGAGTGATCCGTGTGCATGTGGCCTAACAGAATGGCACGGAAGGACATTTTGTCACTTTCGCATTATTTACAGACAACCAGCTCACAACAAAAACTAAGCAAGCTGACAGTAGGCCATGACATGCTTTACAAACAGGCACTCATTAAGGCGCACAAATTTAGTCACCATCTATCTGGGGTAGAACTGTACATAAAGTTATTTTACCTGAAGTAAGAAGCAGATTTATTTCCTTAAAATGAATACTTTAACCTGCGGGTGTAGCACTTGAGAATTTGCAAAAACATAGAAAAGGGTTCAAACATCCCATGTAACTACAGACGAAGTTTCAAAGTTTTCATACAAGCCTCAGCAACTCACCATGATGAATATACTGATCCAACATGCATGCATCTAAGCTTAATTGCTCCGCTGACACAATCAAAGCCATTCCTGTGCAGGGATTAGACTTTCTCTGAAGCCTTTGATTCAATAATTTCCACTTGAACAGAGCTCTGGGATCTAAGCATCCATAGTCCTGACAGCTCAATTACTGTCATAGAGGAACTAGGGGACTTCGGGGTGCAGTGCCTGTGCTGAGCCGGGAGGTTACAGCATTTGGATTAATTAAAGAAATGTTTGCTCAACCTTGCATAGGGGATAATATTAGACAGGGAACTTTAACTACAACGGTAGACGTGAATCGTAAATCTATATTGTTCAAAAACAAGTTTGCTGAATAAATTTATGTTATGTTTTATCAAAATATGCATATATTTCTAGAAAGTCTATTTCTATTCAAGTAAATATCGTTGTATGATATGGATTGTTTTAGCTCTGAAATGTTTTTTTCTTTTTTGAAAAGGATTCGGAGAGACTGGGCCGCTTTGTTTTACCATTATATTCATACAATGACTGCAATAAATCTGTGTTTGTATTATTCAATAAAACTGTATAGGATTGGTTTAATCAGCCATGTTGTGAAAATAGTACACTGTATTTTAGGTTGACTGGAACTATAACTGGTTGTATAATTTTTTGTCAGCTTAACTGGTTTTCAAATTCTCTAGTTGGACCTTAAAGGCTTTTTAAAATTAATATTTCAGCACAGTATGCCACCATCTTATGGCAAATTAGTTTTTTCACCAATCAGAAAACACTCTACCACTTACAAAAAAATCCTTATTTGAACAATGTCCGAAATTCACTCAATATTTTAACACCCAAAGACATACTAAAAAAAGGCAATCTTATGACACAAAATATTATATAGGACTAACTTAAGTCATATTCAACTGTAATGGCGAACTCTACAGTTACTACGTTGTCAGCTCTCTGCTGCCGTAGCTCAAATATCTCTGCCTTCATAAATGCGAGACCCGCTACTAAGTAATTATTAATAGTAATTTCTAAGGCAATACAAACAAAAAGATTGAGACTTTCAGTTCGCAGATTATAATAAATAACATTCTTAGGAATAATACATTACATTTCTGCCAGTAAATTCCTGTAATTATTACACAATGTAGCTTAACAGTATCTAATCGACGAAAGCAAAAGTGTCAAAATAATTAATTCCTTATGACTGCAACAACAGTAAAAGTCCATATTTAAATATGTTTTTCATGAGCAACAAGGACAATATTGCACAACATTGTATTGGAGTTATTAAGCAATCAGTGATGAGAGAGAAATATCTTATTAGGGAATTCCTCTACTTAAAAGTTGAGTCAATTTACTGGTAATTAAAGGCTTTCAGAGATCTAAAACAACATCCATTAAATGAGTCCATGTCACTGTGAGCCTCTACGTTTTCTGGAAGCTGCATAATTTGACCTTGTTTCACTATGAGCATAAAATAAACTAAGCAGCAAATTAGTGTGTCATGAAGAACTGGGGCCACATGATTAGTTGGTCAACGGGTGAATAACCCGATTTGTGATTACATTTAAAGGGTCCAGGTTTAATAACCCAAGGTGAGAAACCCTGAAGGGATGCTTAGTCAAGGATCAGAGTAAGCCTGGAGTATTTAAAGTTAAGCCTAATTGAAAATTTAGAAACATTTCACTGAAGAGTTATCTTTTAGCAGAAAAGGGGACCAGAGGCTGTGATCCGCTCCAAAATAAAGCTACACCTGGAGCGTCTTGGCTTTTTCTGTATCTGTAAACAATTCAGTTAATGGAGATATCAAAACTTCTAAAGCCTAACATGTTAAAAGATTAAAAATAATCCTGGTTAAAAAAATAATAATAATACAGTTACAGATGAAGTGTGTATTTTCTAGCTTTTTTACAGCAAAGCCCAGCCTTATGATATGCTGTTCAGTGATTTACGGTCTGACCACGCTCTGCAATAAAGATAGCTTTAAAGTCAAGAAAGGCAGATTATTTGAAGACACCTGAGGCACACACAGAAAAGGGATGAAAGCCTCCCTCCAGGGTTTCACAGGGTCAAGAGGTGACTTATTGCCCTCAGGGGTCAGGTGGTGTCCTGACTTTGTTTAAAGAGATTAAAGTAAGTGTTTTATCTCTGGATAGAGCTTGAAGTTTACATGAGGCAGCAGCTTCTAGCTCACACCCAAAAGCTCCTCTGTGATGTAAGCCCATGTCTATCCA